ACTTAATATCATCTGGTGGTTTCCTATGAGCTGTGGAATGAAAACAAAGTAAAGGAAAAGTGGTCCCAAAGACGATGACTGTTTTTGGCCATTTCCCTTGGTTTCTTTTGGTCCACTGCATTGGGTCAAGGATTTTAGGGAGAATGAGGAGATTGAGTCATATTTTCAGAAAAGAAAGGGTGAGTTCAGTTTACTTATTTTGAGAGTTATCCCCCCCCCCCCCCGCTGAAGGAATACACTATGTATAACTTTACAGAGTCATCTTCTATTCCCCTACTATCCCTGTGTCCTCACCATCCCCAACTTTGGTTGTCTCCAGAACTTAATAAACCATCCTCAAAACTAAATAACACTCAGAGCTGCATGGCACCTGGAGGGGTTTGGGCAGCTAGAGGAGGGGATTGGCTATCAATGTAGCTCTAGACCAGACCAATAGCAAATGAAGGCTGTTGTCTCCTAACAGTTGTTCTGTGCCCCTGTGGAATGAGGTGGTGGCCTGCATCCAGTTACCAGACAGCTGTCTTCCTCACAAAAAGCATCACCACAATTGACATGAATTGGCTCTCTTGCTGGCAGGCTTCACAGGCCATCCATCGAGTCTCCCTTTCGCCCCTTCCTTTTCCTCCTCTCCACCGTCTTCAGCTACCTTTTCTTCTTCGTTCATGCTTCCTTCCTCCTTTTTCCTTTTTCTCCCCCCTCCCTCTGTCTTACCAGTAGGTGGCCTGGAAAAAAAGAGCAGCAACAGTTGCTGAGGGAAGAATGCATTAACACCTCAGATGGCTCGCTCTGCCAGCGCCTGAGCCTGAGAAGGGACCTACGGGAAGGCCCCTGGGAGAGCAGAGTGCTCACACCTCCCACGGCGTTGACCTTCCCTGCCCAGCCCTGAGCTGCTTTGCTCAAGGTGTGTCAGAGTTTACTCTTGGATTGTGTGTTTTATCCATTGAGCTGCTCCTTTCATCACAAGGCAGGGGACACGGCTGTGTTTGTGGAGTGGATGGGCCCACCGGGGATTTGGAGTGATTCAGTAGTTGTGGTGTAAACCCTTCATCATAGCTCCCTCTCTGGACGCAGAAGGCTGTACAGTTTGTGACTCCTTTCTCAGAGCTGCTCTATTTTTGGGGGGGGGGTAGGTAGGGTACCCGCACTCTCAAATCCAAAATCAGCAAACCTGTCCTTTCCAAGACATTTTCAGATTTATAATTGTACTTGCAAGTTTTTACTAAAGTAAAAACGAAACCCTATTTTTTTGTGTGTTCGACAAACCACCTGAATTAGAAAGAGTAAAATTCTTCAAAACTAAGACAGCTTGAAAGTCCACGGTATGAATTGTTAACTCCACAGAATTGTCTGGATGTCCTTTTACTCTTTCAAATAAAAATAAGGAAATAGCCGTGGGAGCTGCCATGCTTAGTTTCCAAGTCAGTTTTCCAACTTCTCAATCTCAACTTAATAGTCAAAAATTGGATTAGCTGGGCATGGTGGCTCACACCTGTAATCACAGCACTTTGGGAGGCCAAGGCAGAAGGATTGCTTAGGCCAGGAGTTTGAGACCAGCCTAAGCAACATAGTGAGACCCCATCTCTACAAAAAGTTAAAAAAAAATTAAGTGAGCATAGTGGTGTGTGCCTGCAGTCCCAAATACTTGGGATGCTGAGATAGGAGGATCACTTCAACCCAGAAGATCAAAGCTGCAGTGAGCTATGACTGTGCCACTGTACTTCAGCCTGGGCAATACAGTGAGACCCTGTTCCCCCTCCCTCCCTCAAAAAATGTGGAGCAAAGGAAGACTTGACACTCATATGCTTGTTTTTTTCTCAACCAGAAGGAGGCAATGGTAGGACATGATACTCTGTTACTATGGACAGATTAAAAATTAAAGAACTTTACAGTGGTTCTTCACTTATCAAAAAGCCTACAGCATTTTGCCCTAGGCTGCCTCTCTTTTGAATTTAAAACTCGTGTAGAACATTGTATAAGGAAATTCAACCAACATGCCACACATTGGTTTGCATTTAACTCATTACAATGTTGATTGCTAAGAACATTTACATGACCAAGAAGATGTCCAAGCCTTTTAAAAGATCATATCAAATCTAAAACAGGAGCTTGCATTGGGACAGTATTAAACAGATACGAAATCCCTGATATCCTTAGTGATTTACAAGATAAAATGACTAGTAAACTACATTTGGCAAGGGTTTTGGTTCTAAGAGTAATGACAGTGCCCATAAAACAGTCACTAAGGAAAAACAGTGAGGTTTCGAGTGAGGGAAAATATACCAAGACCAGCTTTGACTTCTCCAATCTTCTCTCATTTATATGATGGAAAAAATCACACTCTGTCACCTTATGGTTACTTTGCTACTTCTGATGAGTACAAAATTATTTGAAGATAAGTGTGCTTAATATCACTAATAACTAGAACAAGCAACTGTGAGCCACGCATAAAAAAATAGCTTTGGAGAAATGTAATTTCTAGGAGGGACAGATTGTCTATCTGGTAGATGATAGCTCTCAGTTTTGTAACTCATTTATTTGTTCACTTAGAAAAACAATAGAAGAAATCTAAGAAATGACATGATCAGATTGACTATGAGCCTATGTGTTCTCTTATTTATTTTTAATTCTCCTCAAACACTTCTGACCTCAAAAAAAAAAAAAAGGAAAAAAGAGTAAAACCAAACAGAAAGTCCCCAACAGAGTCCTAATTCTGATTTATAACCATTTATACTCTAGATGGGCTTTGAACTTTACATTAACAAAAGAAAGCTTTCCCCCCCCTATTTTCCACCAATTCCACCCCCCATCTTGCCGTTTTCAAACATACCTCCCTCCTTGAGAGCAAATAACAAGTGAGAGAGAATTGGTTTATAGCTGCCAGCCTCCACCTCAGAGTAGCAGTGGCTTAATTCAAACGGGGCGAAATGGGTGTTTGAGAAAGGGTGAGGTTTTAAGGCCTGGGCAGTGAGTGGGAGAGTCATTTCCTGACACCTTCTGTCATTGTGGCCTGGCACTGGAACTTGCCCATCTATGCCAGTTCAGAGACGATGTGGTCACCTCCTCTCTTTGTCCTTTGTTTCTCCCACAAGGACATCGAGACGTTTGAGAAGATGAGTGGAGTACAGGGACAATCTGTCTGTGAATGCTATTCTTTGGCTAGCAATGTGTGATAGTCACAGGGAAAAGAATTGTTCTCGGTGGCTAGATGCATTTTTCTAAGTTCTAAAGTCACCTCTAAAAATTTAGTCCATGGGGTGCAAATTCAAAACTCACCATGGACCAAACTGATGGTAAAAATGAAGACATTAAGTTGTAGAGAATGATGAGTGTAGCGTCCCTGGGAAGGGCTACACACAAGGCCACCGCATTTTACAATTCCGGGACACCCCGTTCACATCATAGTGTATGTGAATGGCGCCCCCTAGTGTACAGCAATGCAGAGGCCCTCTGCATTGCCCCGTCCATTCATTCGTTCAGAACATCCTCAATGAGCTCACTGAGGGCCAAGATGGTTCTAAGTCCGCGCGGGGGTGAGGTTGGGGGTGGGGGGTGGGGGGTGGGGGGTGGGGTTGGCCATTACCGAAGTGGAGGAGAATCCTGGGTTTCACAAAACCTACAGGCATTCCGTTTTCATTTGTTGTTGTTTAAAAAGGCAAAAAACACCCTGCTAAACACACATTTAGATAAGAACTTAGCTCTTGGGCCCACCGATGAAAGACTTCTTGCTCTAGGCTTTTACATTATTTCTGTGATCATGCAGGTTTTAACCACGTGGACAAAAATGCAACGATATACTGATCACAGGCTTGTGTCTACTGCTTAAGAGCTCTGTGTCCCTATAAAATGCAGCTAATTATTTTTTAATTAAAACTTTACACCCACCCTGCTTGCCACTCCTTTTTCCAAGAAAACATAATTCCTAGAGGTAATCTGTTAGGTAAGAGAAGAAGAAAAACTAGAATGGGTTGGGGGTCTTGGCATTCTACCAAAGCATTGTCTGTCTAAATACCTGTCCTAAAGACTCATGGGAGATTGAACAATGTGTTCACTGGGCACCTTGGACAAATTCAAAGTCTGCTCCTAATCACCCATACATTTAATTAAATTTTTTTTCAAGGTAAAAAGGAAGATTCTCTAAAGTGTCAGGCCTCTTGAGGTTTATGTTAACAGAAGCAGAGAAAGTATCACATTAAAAGAACTGTCTTATAAATAATTTCTCAGTCTTATGGCATCTTAATGCCATTTAATAGAAGGTTTTAATTGTATCTGCATAGAGGCAAAATAAAGCTAAAAGAATGTACAGTCACCTAGCCCCTTCTATGCCAGGGGGATTTTTTTCCCCCATTGGAAGCTTGGGTAAAACTGAAAAGAAAACTTATATTCAAGTTTCTGCAAGAGGCTTTAAAGAAATGCTATGATAGTACTCAAATCGTTTTCCACCTTGTAACTTGCTTTGCGTTTTCTTAGATAAGGTCCTGACTCAAAAATATTTAAAGGATCTAGGTCAGAAATCTGATGAAGGGACGGAGTCATAGTATAAAGGTATAAATATCACATATAAACATTCACATCTTATCTTCCTAGAAATAGGGTGAAGACCACCTGTGATTACTTTTCCTCTTTTCTACCTACCCTCCAGGATCCTTTCTTTCCAAAACCCCTCATAAATGTATAAAAAAGAGTTGTCACCATATCAATTTACACATGGTATTAAATTACTTTCCCCAAGTTTGGAAGCATTTCCTGAAAGTTGTCAGAGGTATTCATTTTTTTTCCCTCTCTCTCTTTAAATCACAAAGCAAAATTTCACTGTCTCTCCCCCACCCCTTCTAAAAAAAAAAAAGTTGTCGAGTTTTGCTTTTCTATTCACTGCAGTCCTGGCCAAAGTAAAGCCCTCTTTCTCAATGACGTCAAGATCTTTACCAAGATTAGGCTTTCATTTCTCTATTGCAGCAATTAGCCAGGGAATGTATAAAAGGCTTCAGGGAGACTCACTGGGCTGCAGAGAGAGGCACTTTGCACCACAGACAGATAGCAGGAAGAAAAAGACAGAGAGAGTGAGAAAAAAGAGGCATCAGTCGCTCCTGGAGAGGGGAGAGAGAGGGAGAGACTGGGAGAAGCACAGAAAGTGTGTGTAAAACGGAGTAAAGAAAGAAAAACAAAACTACCCTTAAAGCACATTAAAAAAAAAACAACCAAACAACTTTGGCAATTCAAGAAAGAAACAGGCTACGTTTAAAGAACAGAGAGACAATGAAAAGCTAAAGAAAATTTTGCAATCTCTGCCACAGTCTCATAGGTGCTTGGAAATGAAAGCAGAACTGCCTGTCTTTAACGGACTCTGACAGGGGTAACTGGATTAGGGACGGGTACGCCAGTTTTCTTTTTCTTTCTTTCTTTTTTTTTAAACATCTAAAATCCTGAAAAAAAAAAAAAAAAAGCAGCAGCTCCGAATTGAATGAATTGATGGGCACACTCCAACTTCTGGGCTGGAGAAACTGAACTTGGTCTTGCCATTTCTGCTTCTTTGAAAGAGGAGACAACTTGGGCTTCCTTTTAATTTAGTTTTTCTCCTTCTCCCCCCACCCCCAACCTTCCCCCTTACCTCCCCCACCCCCTCTACCACCACCCCCCTTTTAAATAAGAGGGTGAAGGGGAACCAGAGCGCACAAGGGAACTGACTCAGGAGGCGGAGAAGATGGGCATCCTGAGTGTAGACTTGCTGATCACACTGCAGATTCTGCCAGTTTTTTTCTCCAACTGCCTCTTCCTGGCGCTCTATGACTCGGTCATTCTGCTCAAGCACGTGGTGCTGCTGTTGAGCCGCTCCAAGTCCACTCGCGGAGAGTGGCGGCGCATGCTGACCTCAGAGGGATTGCGCTGCGTCTGGAAGAGCTTCCTCCTGGATGCCTACAAACAGGTGAGCCGGGCTGACCGCTTCTCCTGAGGGCTGCAGGGCAGGGGCTCACGTGTTGGGGCCTGGAGCCACCTGGAACTTTGGGGTGAGAACTGGGGGCCCACCTGGGGGACCTGCCTGGTGGTTCTGCTCTGGGGACCCAGGATGCTTCCTTTCCCCACCTGTTGCACAGGTTAGATTTGGGGTTGACAGCTATTAAGCCAACATGATTCTGTGCAACCCGAGAAATCTCTCTAATAAGGATTATCGCTGCCATTTGGGAGTAGAGGGTATTTGTGACCCTACTAGAGGGTATTTGTGATGGGGAAGGGGAGATGGCTGCATTTCTTTTGCTCATGCCAGAAACTGGAATTTTGAGGTTTTGCTTGATGGGAGACGGAAGGAGGTGCACTAGAAAAGACAGTTCAAAGGGTTGGCACTGAGAAGCAAGAAAAGAAAATGGACTTGAAACTCTCCAAGTTGACGAGGCTAAGCAGAATGGTCATAGCAAGTGCGATTGGGCATCATAGCCTCTTGGTTTCTGGTAAAGGCAAGAGTTAATGAAAGCAAGCAACTGTGTGCCACCTCCTCGTCACTGATGTGGATTTGAAACCTGTGGAGGTGGCTCTCAAGCACTGGGTCCCGAGTTTCTAGATATCAGTTTGCAAAAGAGAGATCTGAGAACTGGCTGTCAGAAATCCAGACTCTGTAAGGGAAGCTACGTGCACTTTGTTTCTCAAAAATAAAATAGGTTGTCTTAGAAAGAGATGATGAGTCTATGATTCATTAAATCTCTGAGTTGCCGCAACATGTGTCTTCAGCATTAGGGCAGTGGCCTCCCTTGCCTGCAGAGGCTGTGTTCGGGGGATTGCTCTCTCAAAACCAGGGTCGGTAATCTTCATTTCTAAGTGAAAAATGCTTCAGCCTTTTTGCTCCTTGGAGATGTTGGTGGAACATGTCCAACTAAGATCTTGTGGTTCAAAGAAGAACATTTTGACCCTGGTCTTTTGTCAGTTTGTCCCGACCCCCAATGTCCACATGACTCCTGAAGTCTCCCTGGGCTTTGGCAAAAGCTGCTATCAAAGCAGACAGTCTTGGTTTCCTTGGCAGTCTTTGGAGATCTTGTCCAAGATGCTAGAAAAAAAGGAGTTTGAGAGGAATATAGAACCCAGGTGTTCAACGAAGTGGTACACTTTAGGCAAGCAGTACCTTAAAACCAGAGATGGGAAACTTAGAATAATGGGGGAGGGAGCAAGTCCTCCATAAATAAATACTAGAAAAATAAAAGTGTGTGCCAGGAAAAGAAGTAACTTGAAGTCACAAAGAATCCAGGTCAGGGTTGTTCCGCTGAAAATCAGATGTTCAAGAAGAAAATATCTATTGTGAACTAGGGAAGTTTTACTGTAATACATGTCTTCATTATTGAGATGAATCTGCAGAAAGTTTGTATTTATTGTCATAAAGACATGTGAACAGCAAGAGCTCTTATTAGCAAATGAAAATTTATTTGTAAGAATATAAATTGATGCTCATAGTTGTAAAGCTTTATTTATATTAGTTGTGTAGGGGTAAATGGGAATTACAGATAAGGAGATATTGAAAGGATCATTTCATTTCTACAAATGTATCCACTGAATGTGAAAGTTTTGTGTTTTATTTTGGGTGTAGGGAATTTGGAGGAGGATGAGGAAGTACACAAGATGTCAGGCATACTATTAATTAGGAAGATTCATCTATCTGTATTTTGTGTGTGTTAGCAGTAAACATGGAAATATCAGTGGTTAGATCTCAGTATATTAAACTCTCCCTTTTTGAAAGACAAGTGCCTTTTGCCTATTCAAGGAAAAAAACCCACTTCTTAGAAAAATTTAACTTATACACATATGTATATTTTATATAAATGTCTTCTTTTATTAAGACAACTGTTTTTAATGTCATCTCTCACATAAACAATGGGAGCTGTAATGTTACCCACAAATACTTTGTGAGGTTGTTTCTTCCACTAAGCAGCTAATTGAAGATAAAAATAGAAAAGCAAGCAAATGCCTCTTTAATAAACTTTATTATTTACTTTCTTCACTAATGTATAGTGTTCCATTGTGTGGCAATATTTTGTTATTCATATTCCAGGAAATTGAGAAGGATGAGTGGTTTGTTTTTTTTCTTTTTTTGCATATGGTTTGTGTATTCCTCTTCTGTATTTCTTTGTCTCTGCCTACTGATTTGATTAGTGACCAAGTTCACCACCGATGTTATTATGCTTGCTCTTAATGATTTATATAATAGCTACCATGGGCAGAAGCAACCTCAAGGCCCATATATCCAGAGACAAGACTGGACTGGGTGTGTAATGAGTGGAAACATTCCAAGCACAGTTTGAACTGATGATGGTCTCTTTCTGTCTTCAAGGATGGCAAGGGTGGCGGTTCCTGCAGTGGCCTTCGAGGGTCACTCAGAACCTCTCAGTCAGGTTGAATCACTTCCCTGAATGCTGTTGTCATCTGTGCCACTGTCTTAGGGTCTAGCCTTTTCTGGCGATACTGCAGGAGGTTCTGTTTGAGGTGGCACCACAGCATTTCATAATCCTGACATGCATTACTCTGAGGGTGCTACCCCGGAAGCAGAGTTTCCCAGGATGGAATGTGTGCACATGTGAGACAACTAGACATGCGATTTGTCATTTTTAATTTCCCTTGTTACTGAATATCCCATACTTGGAAAATATCTAGAGAAGGTAGAATAAATGCCCCCATGAGGGGCAACACAGAAATAAAAAATTTTAAAAGAGAATAAAATAAAATGAAAAACTCTTCTTCATTAAATCGTTGCAAGGGATTTAAAATTAATTTTGTAAAGAAGCTTTTAGAGATGATGTGAGTTTGGTAAGGGGGGGTTCCATATATGATTCAGATGGAAAAGAAAGTCTATAGAAACTCTTGAGAGATTCTGAGGTGAATAACAGATATTTGAGACTTAGTTTCTTTAGTCAGTGTCATTGCATCTGAACAGTATATCCTTGTGCTGGTGCTCCAACAGGAAAAAAATGCAACCAATAAGCAAACTGCCCTGTCTGGGAGCCTGACTCTTACCTAAATGAAGTGTAAAAGTAAACATACAGTATAGATGCTGACAGGCAGTTTGGCTTCTGCACGGTTAATATTGCAGTGGCACAGAAAACATATTCATCTGAACATATAATTTTGGTTTTGAAAGGGTCTCTTTAACATTCTTCTCCTCCTCTTCATTCACCTCAAGCCTTTGACACTAGTTTCTACAATGGAAAAATGGTTCTTTTAAGAGAGAAGCAGTCCCAAGAGGACACAAAACAGGCCACAGACAGAGTTTGTTCGTCACTTGGCTAAAACATTGGGACGTGATAGGGCTTAGAGGTACATTTTTCAAGGCATAAATTAAAAAGAGAATAGCTAACAGGGAATTGAGCTGAGAGGAAGAAGTAGGTAGCTTATTCTTCAACTCTGATTTCTTTGACCAATCTGAATATAAATGGTTAAATCTCTGCTTAATGATTGTTTGGCCACGTTTCTAAGGACATTGATGTAGCCTGGTCATTATGTCAAAGAATTTGAAACTTCCTGATAGTTAATAAAGCCATTTTCAGGGCTTTGGATGGCAAGAAGTATGTGTAAAAATTCTTTTACCACACACCCACCCTTCATTTTTATCATTTACTTTACTTTCTATTATGAGATTATGCGATATTTTATCTACAAGCCTTTCTCAGGCCATGGAAAGGAAAAACAAAACAAAACAAAACAAACCAGGTTAGTAGTATATGCCACATTTCTAGCCTGGTGAATGGTTCTTTTTTCTTCTGGCTCTGCATTCTACAGTCCATATGCTAAGGCAGCATTATCCTTCTTCTCATGCACCGAGCACTGAACATCACCACGGGAATCACATTTTTATATAGGCTATATATTTAATTACGTGCTCATATTTATAAATAGGTCTATTGCAGCATTTGAACTTGGCCCAGAGACATCCCCTGTTGTAAAAATGCCAATTCTTTATTTATTTTCTTTGTCGGTGTCATGTTGATGTTTACTGAAAGGACAACTCTTATAGTGCAGATGAGAGAGATAAAAGTCAGGGACGACAATATCACATTTTACATATGTCCTTTCTGATCCTTGCAAAAATAAAGGGACCCTTTGGGAACATCGGAACTTCAAGACCAATTAGTGGAAATGATGCTTCTTGTGTTTGGGCATTAAATACTGGGCAGGGTTCTCTTTAGAGCGGCTAATGCTGGCAGGGAAAGAGGTACCGACCTAATTACTCTTCCGCAAGAGTAAAAAATGCCTTTTGAATGCCTCTTTGGCAAATATGTCTCATTAAGGACAAAAACCAAACACAAACCCTCTAAGAAGGAGAAATTAAGATGATAGGTAACTTGTGGCCAGGAGACTTTCTGTGCCACTGTGGGAAATTAAAACAAAGTTCGGGAGTACCAGGGGATAACTTGTTTTTGTTGAGTTTCTTTCCTGCAGCCCAAATGTTATTATGGGACCAACTTTATTTTCTTCATCATTTTGGCTCTGGGTCAAGGAATGCTTTGCTCCTGGGGAGAGCAAAGAACCTTCCGTCATTGAAGACAATGGCGATTCTCCCGTTCTGTCTCAGCAGGGCGCATAACCCAGCAAACCAAGAAATTCTCTATTTGAAACTCTGGTCCATTAGGAATTTAATTTTATGGTGACCAAATGGGTAGATGAGACTGAATAGTAATATTCTTTTAAAAATTCGTTTTTAGTTTAAAGGAAAGTTTCATTTCTAAAACAAGTTTTTCCTCCCATTTACTTCAGCTAAATTGTCCTCCACCACGTTTTAGAAAGGATGGACAAATTTAATGATTAATATATGAAGCTTAAAAAAGCAGACTGCTGGTCTGTTCATGTTTGGTCTTATGGATGGTACGTGTGTGTTTTTCCTTCTTGGTCTTATTGATGGCATTGATCTCATCTATGAATTTTCCCTTACCTGGGCACCCTTATGAATAAGGAAATCCATTTATGACATTCTAGTCTTCAGTAGGGGATCACAGCTGCCCAAAAAACTGGCTACATTTGTTGTATGCACTGACCAGCTGAGACAATCAAAGACAGATCAACAGCACTGAGTGTTGATTATGGTAGTACTCTCCAGGATCCATATTTCTGAGTTTATCTGAAATCACCCAAATGTGAATATGTTCATTGCAGGTCAAGCTTATTATTTAGTATAAAATTCGTCACTGACCTAGAATTGTAACAACTAGCATTCATTTAATACTTCATTCAACAAAATGAAGAAAATATTTCCCAGCCTATCAAAATGCGAATCCCCCCCCCCCACACACAGAGCATTCGGTATTTGGTAACTTGCTTAATTTTTAATTTTAGAGTGACAGTATTGTACTTGCCCTAAACTTTCTAAGGCAAACTAGTCTTTGTTTTGGAAAGAATTTTGTGGCTCTAAGGAGAGGGAGAAGGAGAAGGTGCCTTGACTTTCCGTGAAAATTGACTGCAGGTAACAAAAGAGTCTCCTGTGACTAAAGCATCAGATTAGAGTATTCAATTGAATAATCAAGAAGAATACAAGAACCAACAGGTCTGCTCAAGTAAGAGCCGGGTAGGAGGCTGCTTTATCGAGGCCACATAATTGTTCTTAGGTCTCAAAAATGATTCCAAAACGCAGATTAATTTTTTTTACCTAGCAAGAACTTACAAATCTGTAGTTCAGAGGTATTTTTCTTCTGTGAACGGGTTGCTTACTTAGCAAGAAGTCATTGCAACAAACTCATCTGAATGCATTTAGGTCTTCTTATCACAGCATAGTAAGGAACATAGTACACACCATTTTGTGAAAAGCAGTGCTCCTGGAATCATTATTTCTTTTTAAGTGGGAAAGATCTAAGGAGAAGATAATGGGAATGCTACCCACCACCTAGATCTACAAAGAAGTGCAAAAAGAACCCACAGATTAAAGGTTTTTAATAACTTTAACGTTTATATCTTTAAAGTATATTTTACAAAACTAAGTTCATATGAAAGAATCCAGCTAAAAGTGGTTTTTAGATTTCTCCATCTAGTGTCACTTGCACATTAACCAAGAAAATTCATATAAACAAAATAACTTTTTCCCTAGTGGTAACAAAAACAAATGTGCTTATTTAAATCACACCAACGGCTTCTTTTTCTAAGAAAGATTATTACTGGAAGATTTCTTTTAGAAAACGAATAGCACTTGTTTCAAACCTGCCCTGCTAGACTTTTTCAGAAGGGGGAGAAACACTTGAATTCTCTACAGTTAAAATGAGTTACTCATGAACATTAGATAGAAGCTTCCGAATAAAAGATCTCGAGTGTTTTATATCAGTTTGAATTGTTACATCTTTAACAATTCACTTCCAAGTGACTTCAATTAACAGCAGTATTCTATAAGGCTATATTTATATGAGGGAAATAAGTCGATCAAGTTGGAAGTGTTTTGTAATATTAAGGATAGGGTATAAAAATCAACTGTACTGTTGTAAGTTGTCCCTAATGTTATGTTATTGGCTTTGATTAAGCCATTCTAGGGGAAGACTCAATTGTGTTAATTCAAACGGAAGTAATTGGATATTTTTTTGTTGGCTGCTTTTTATTATCAGTGTACAGATGCAAGGGCTTCGAACTTTTCTACATGCTGCATTCAATTATTTCAACCGTGTGCAAGGGGTGAGGGCACCTGGAACCGTTTTTGTCTATACCTTTTCTGCCTGAATATTTTTTAATTCGGAGGAGCTTGTTAATAAATTGTGTGGTAGAAAAATATTTGTGTGTGTGTGGCTTCCAAGATAAAAGAGGGTGAGGTGAGGTGACTCACACTTGTAATCCCAGCACTTTGGAAGGTTGAGGAGGGGGGCTGCTTAAGGCGAGGAGTTCAAAACCTGTCTGGGCAATGTAACAAAACCCCAATCTCTACAAAAAAAAAAAAAAATCACCCAGATAGTTCTAGCTACTCAGGAGGCTGAGGCAGGAGGAAGATCACTTGAACCCAGGGGTCGAGGTAACAGTAAACTATGATTGTGCCACTGCACTCCAACCTGGGCAACAGAGCAAGAAACAAACAAAAATACATGGAAAATGGGAAATTAACTAAAAGTAGAATTCTAGAATAACTATATGTTTTTGTTTGTTTTAAATGGAAATTGTAAGGTTCTAGTCATGAGAACCACACTGTAAGCAGCCACAGTAGAAACCTCCAGGGAAGGTGCTATCTGAGGAGAGCTCGAATCTTTGCTTCAGGAAAATTTTGTTAAACACAGAATTGCCAAAGAAAGATGATATTCTGCTTCACATGGTGGGGTGGCATCTGATAATGAAACACACAGCTCTGCAGTGATTTATAGTAGATGAAGAACTCTGTTCCTTATGTTACCCTCCAGTAGCCACATGAGGAGGACAGGCATTATCATCTCCATCTTATGGATGGAAAAGCTGAGGCACTAGAGATGTTAACTGGAAGTAATCCTTATATGTGGTGGACCCCAGGCTTTCTAGCTGTAGTCAAGAACAGCGCCTACTGATATCATCCGTCTTTGGTGGAGATTGGCTTAGGATAACGCAAAACAATGAAAAGTACTGCCTGAGTGTTTCAGAATTCAGAAACAGGCGTGATGTCCCAAAACCCTGATAATTTGTCTTAAAGTAGACCCCATTTACTTCTAACTTTTAAAATGGAGTCAATTAATCATTTGTTATATGATGCATGTTAAGCACTGACAGCAAAATAAGGATAGTCAAGAATACCAGCCACAGCTTAATTATAAAAAGAGTTAACTCCAGTGCCTTCAATGATGAAAATAATTACCTCAATGACTACAGAGAGTGATAAAGACTTCATTCTCTTTTGGGCCATTCTTTACATTACCTGCCATGATGCCTCTTTACTGAAATCAATAAATGTTCACCACAAGTTCTAAAGGAAATACCACATTCTATTACCGCCAATTGTGTCTGTTTAAAGTGAATTGAAGTGGCAATGTGTTTAATATGGTATCCTCCCTCCCCCCTCCCTTCCT